AATGTGGCTAAGGTTGCTTAAACAAGTTATGGCAGAGGTTTGAGCAATGAGACTGCAAGGCATGATATGTACACCAAAAGCATTCATTTGAGCTAAAGTTGTTTTGGTTCTTAAACTAGGAAGTATATTCACAATCAAATAAAGAATTGTGGTAAACTGAAAACTGACTTTCAAAGTCCAAAACTTCTGCATTATAGAAAGCAAATTTGGAAATTTAGCGAATAAGCCCCTAAATGTTATTGCGCTGTAGATTTTGTTTAATACATATAATTGAGGTGCGATATTTCATTAATATAATATTTTAGTAATACATTTTGCATAATTTATTTCATAAAAGAAGAAGCAAACCAGCCTGATCCTTTCATTTCCACAGAGATTTGTTTACAGCCTCCTTTTCCCATTGGAAGGTCATCGTGCTATGTGGAATCCTTTCTATAAACAGCAGTGTCTAGCCATGTACTCTGATACCCAACTGGTGTGCTCAAGGCTCTCGGATATTTGTCAATGTCTTTAACATATGGAAAATATCCCAATGGTAGAAAACGAATGTTTAGAAAGTAATTATTAAGTATTATGTCATTTTACAAACGCGGTTGTCCATCATCATTTTAAACCATCATCATCCTGTATAAGGGCTATAAAATGACAGCCGTTGAAAGTGCTTGGCAAAGCACTAAGCCTGACATTAAAAAGTGAATTATTACCATTTATTAAATAGTCTCTGAAAGTACTGACAGTGAGTCTATGAAAAAAAATCTAGCCCAGTGTGTTACCAAGCGTTGCTCTGTGGAATGAAGACAGTTTAACCTATGCATTAGGTAAGCCTGAACGGACAATAGTCACTTACAGTTGGATTTTATCCTCCTAATCTATCAGCACCTCTGACTTCAACAAGTTCAAATCAGTGGGAACATGGAGCTGATATTTACTTCTAAGTTCCCCTGCGGTCATGGAAAAATAACCTGGAGGGCTTTTTGCAAACAGTGACGTTTATTCACTAAACATTGAATTACATTGAATGGAAAACTAAACAGCTATCTGTGAGGGGGTTCCTGTACTCTGTCTGAGTACCTCCGTCACGCAAGCTTTCTCTCTGCTACCAAAAAACCTGGAGTGCTTCAGACCCAGTCACCAAATCTTGTCTGGGATCTCTGAGAACCTCTTCCACTGGATCAGGCTGCAGTGAATATATGTCTTTAGACTCTCTCACCTGTAGAGCAGTGATTATAGCTTTGCTATAGCCTTCGCTCCACACATTAGATGAACCTGAATGTAGGGGGTAAAAAAGGCTGTAGTAAAGCTATAAACACTGCAGCTTAGTCCGGTGGAAGTGACCGTAGAGACTCCAGTTAAGCATGGCTTGTCGCATATGCATAGGTCACCATCTTCTCATTCAACTTCTGCTAGTCGATGCAGAAGCAGGTGGTCCTGTCCCACTTCTGCACCAGAACTACCAGGGAAACCCAAGGACTGCCTGAGGCTTCAATAACTCCAATCTGGAGCATCTCCTGGATCTCCATCCTCATTTCATTCCTAATGGTCTCCGGGATGCGGCATGAAGGTTGGCTTAAAAGCATCTTTCCTAGGGGTTTCTACCCTATGATGAGCCATGGTGGTGTACCCCAAAAAGTTAGAGAATATAGCCTGTTTTGCCACTAGCAGCTGCTGGATCTTAGCCCACTCTTGGGACTCTAATTCCCCTAGCTGTACTTGGACAAGGGACCATGCTTGATTGCTTTCTTCCAGGATTCAGGGGCTATTTTCAAAAACTTGGTGTGCAGGGACACAAATGGCTGCTACCTTCTCCTCTTCATTCCCTTTAGGGCTTAAAGGGACACTATAGTCACCAAAACAACTTTAGCTTAATGAATCAGTTTTTGTGTATTGATCATGCCTCTGAAGTCTCACTGCTCAATTCTCTACCATTAGAAGATTCATCAATTTTGTTTATGCAGATGCCGCCCTAGTCACAACCTCCCTAGCTGTGACTGACAAATCCTACATGAACTAAGAAAATTGTTTAATTTTTAAACAGATGTTACATAATTTTAAATGTTTTATCAACTGCCCTGTAAATTGAACTTTAATTACATACAAGAGGCTCCTGTAGGGTCTAGCAAGCTATTAACAGTGCAGGAGATAAAACATTCTAAATTAAACCGATTAGAAACATAGAATGTGACTGCAGATAAGAAGAATTCGTCCCTTCTAGTCTGCCCAATTTTGTAAATACTTTCATTAGTCTCTGGCCTTATCTTAAATCTAGGATAGCCTTATGCCTATCCCACACATTCTTAAACTCCTTCACTATCTTAACCTCTACCAGATTGTGCAATAAAGGAAGTGTAAACATTAGATGACGCTTTACAGGACGTGTTTAGGAAGGCTGTGCAAGTCACATACAGGGAGGTGTGGCTAGGGCTGTATAAACAAGTGATTTAACTCCAAAATGGCAGTGAATTGAGCAGCGAGACTGCAGGGGCATGTTCTATACACCAAAACTGCTTAATTAAGCTAAAGTTGTTTTTCTGACAATTGTGTCTCTTTAAACATGTTCACATGGAACAATAGGGGTGGGGAATAAAAAAATTACAGGAAAGAAAAATAGTGCTAAAAGCACAGCAAATAAAATATTGAGTAGATTACCACATAACGGGATTTCCACTTGCTATGTATATAGAATGTGCTGTAAAGAGTGTGAATTGTAAATTTTAGTTTAAAACAAACCTAAACATAAAATCACAAGCACAATACATACATAAAAATACCCAGTAAAGTAACATAGATAGTTATAGACACATAAAATGCATTTAGGACAGCTTTCATGAACCAGCAAAAAATAGCAGCATAAGTCCATCTAATAATTAGCAGCACATCAGTAGCATAGTAAATAGCAGGCAATTAGTCTAAAGTGCAGCACAGAAATTAGCAGCAAACAAAAATAAAAAATAAAATAGTAGCCAATAGATCCAGAGAGAGTCTAATATCCATATAAAAGAATACAGTGTATAAACACTGTGAATATAATGGTTATAACTTGTACATAGTACGGTCCAAAGCAGGATTCCTGACTTGTTCCAGCTCTCCGGCAGGGTGCAGAAATAGTTGAGAGATGAGGTCCCGGTATATCCAACAACTGCTCCCTATGGGTGCCAATAAGTCTGCTAAGCCAAACGCATTTCACCTTTTTCAGATTTACCAATGGTTGTAATGTACACAACACGGAAGCGGACTATTTAAACAAAGAAAAACAATTCACATACATTACAGCCATTGATAAAGCCACAATAGGCGAACCGCGTTTGGCTTTATAAACTTATTGGCACTCACAGGGAGCAGTTGTTGGAGAAACTTGATTTATTTTTTTTGCTCAGCCTAATCCCTTGAATAATTTACCTTAAATTTAGCAATTCCACATTCACTTCACTACAGTGTGGTGTTTAGTGTATGCTTAGGTTGTCCTTCGCTATACTCACCTAAATAGGTAGATTATAGCTAAGTTGTCAATATAGAGGGGAATGCACATTGTAATAGCTGACTAAAAATTTGTTATTGGCAGTGTTAATTTTGATGGCAAATTGTAATCTAGTTTTATTCGTATTTTAGTAATCTGAATTGTTTTAGTTTAGTTTGTTAGGCAACTAAATTTCCAGTAGATTTTAGTTAGTTAGACCCTCTATCTGTCTAATCTGCCCGTTCTCCAGCATTTCTGTGTCTCTATGTGTGTCCCCAGCCCCTCTGGGTGTCTCCTCCCCAAACCCCTGTCTGTCTCTTTTACTTCTTTGTGGCTCTCTGCCCCCCTCTCAGGTCCTCTATGGGTCTCTTTCTCTCCTCAGCCCTAATATGTGTGATGGTGAGGTTTCTAGCGCTTGTTATATCCGGGTATGGCAGCTGGTACTTCCCAAACCATAGTCTCTTCTATCTGGCCATGGTATTGGTCAGGAAAGGGTACAGGGAAGCACTTGAACACTTTAAAAAAGCCCCTTTGTGTGAAACGTGTTGGTGTTTTTATGTCATTGGTTTTATTATCTTTGTTTTAAATAAAACAATTTTTTACCTTACCAGGACCTTCTTGATTTTATCCAGAGGAGCCACACTTTTTTTTCTTCCAATCTTTCTTTTATTGAGGCATTTGTTAAATGGGGTACAGAATAAAGAGGAGGGGATGTACATTTTTCATGCAGATTGGGAGCACAATTACAAAATGCAACATCTCCTATGAGAGACAGCCTCATTTTATATTAAGTAAGCATTCCATAGTATTACCAACAGGTTTAGCGTAATAATGATAAAAGTAGTTAGACTTAAGCGAAACATCTAGTGGATTATACCAATTATGTGTCATGAGGAACAGCTCACATTGTATGTTAGTGTGGGGGGACAGTAGCTTATTGGCACATTTTTAATAATGAAGTGTGGTCCAGGCAAAGTTAGACTAGGGTATTAGCTTGGGTTAGGTGGCTGCATACAGTAGGTGCCTTAGAGTTAGCGGTTGGTAGGCGTCGTTATGGTAAAGTAACCAGGGTTTAGACATATCAACAAATATTGTAACTTAAACTGTTAACGTACATTCAATAAATACCATAAGTAGAGCCTAACATGCAATGTGTGTATCTATTTTAGATCAGGCTTATCGGGTGCATGTCATACGGGTGAACATAACTAGCAGCTCTGAATTGCCATGCCCAGTGGTAGGATAGAGGCAATATACTCTCATGGCTGGTAAGTTACTGGGCATTGGAGTCAGTAAATTACTATAGGTAATCCCTGATAATTTTGCTGACCTGCAGGAGAAAGAATCCTCGACAGTCCTGGATTAGGTATGGCAGCTGTGCAGGTAGAAGCAACAGGCGTCCCGGTGAGGTGTAAAGCAGGTGTGGGACATATGCCGTCAGTCCACTCTAGTCCATCAACCCACACCAGTTCTCGAGGCCTGCCGTCCGGCAGCAAGTATCTGGTCGGCAATATGTTGTGGCCAGCCGTTTCGTAAGAGGCAGGTTTTAGTTGTGACAGCGGGGTCGGAGCTCTGCTCCGGTGTGGTGAGCCTGATAGCTGTAGGCTGTTTGCTTAAGGAGGTGTACCACAGACCACGGTACCAAGGTGCGGGCGGGTGGGTTGCAGTTCTCGGTAAGCCTGGGGTACTGCACCGTACCTCTGATCGTCACAGCAATCCAGTCCGTGGTCGTGTGTAGGGCCAAGGTAAGCCTATACCCTTTTGTGGATGAGTAGTTGTGCGTCTCTGTGGGGCCCGTTTCCCGCTCCGCCGCCATGTTGGGGCTCAATGCGGCGTCACGGCTGTAGTCTTCTGCTGTATGATTGCGGCTGAAGTATGCCGTGTGTGGTCGCCCCGCTGGCTCCGGACAGGTTGGAGCTGCCTACTCTCCAGTTTGCGCCAAAATTGGTTGAATAGCCTGTCCAGCCTGGTCGAGAGATCAGGGTTGTCTTCAGTTTTGTCGGGGGCCCGCTCTGCATCTGCCATTTTGGTTGTGTTGCTGCAGCATGTAGTGGCCGCCGTGGCTTTTCCTCTGGCTCCCGCTATATCTGCTTAGCCTCCCAGTGGTGGACCGGGATTACCCCCACCGGTCCGAGGGGGGGGGGTAACAGGGTTTCCATGCAATGTTGTTTGCCCTCGAGCAGCTCCGGGCTGTGAGATCGGCCACCTCCCTCGTCTGGTGTGCCTCAGGCCGTGTGCTTAGATTCGTGTAGCAATTGTGCTCCTTGCAGTTTCTTACACCCCACAGTGGGTCCCAAGAGGGTCAGGAGTCGTGTATGTCACGTTAATCGTTCCCCTTGAGGCAGAATGGGGCTGAGAACTTCGATTCAAGTAGGCCTAGGAGAGGAGCTCATGCAAGACACGTCTCTCCTCAATGACAGTCAGGCCCCGCCCCCAGGAGCCACACTTTGTACCTCCTTGGTGGGGAGGAAACCACCTACGCTGCACAGGATTGAGCAAAAAAAAACAATTTTCTTTTAACTTGTTAGGTGAGTATACTTTCTTTTATTTTGCTTTTACAACAACAAGACAGAGATCACTATTTTTCTGTTTTTATTTATGTAGCGGACCATGGGTAACCCGACTTCAGCCAGTTAGGAACCATTTAAAATGTACAGAGACCCATTTCTTCCACCCAGTAACTGGACGAGACTGAGTTCTGGAGGTACAACACTTTATTTATCACACTCTGCTTTTTAAGCAAAACCCCATGCAAGTGGTGTACACCACACAATCACAGTGTCCCCTCCCAGGGTCCTCCCCCTCCCAGAGGTCTTAGCGTGACACAGGAGTTCCAGTCCCTTTGTCCCCTTTTCCCACCACCCAAGTACAGGTTTTCCCACTTCCGGTGACAGGGGGTCTTCTTCCCAAGACTCACTTTGTCCCCTGTTCCCACCACCCAAGTACAGGTTCTCTCACTTCCGGTGACAGGGGGTCTTCTTCATAGGATACCCTTTGTCCCCTGTTCCTGTCACTCAAGTACACTCATTAACTACTTCCCTTGCGGTTTCACAGTTATGTTGTGAGTAATTGATTGGTGCAAACATTTCATTGGGTACTGGGGAGGTTCCCGTTCGGGAACCGAATGGGGTGGGAAGCAGTTCACGAATGCTCCCCCTGGATGGCGTTCGTCTATACGAACTAGCGGCCACCCAACGCGCCAAGGCTTCCCTTGCGGTTTTGGCATCAGGCCGAGATGAGAACGTTCTAATGAGCGTTCTAAATGGATTACTGGGGTGGAGCAGGCAATTTGCACAAATACACAGGGTAGTAATAAAGACAGGGGGAATACACAAACAACCGGGGTTCCATCACAATTTATGTAATTTTTATGTAATTGGTGAATATCTGTGACACTGCAATTTGGAGGGAAATACCCGTGAACGCTCAACACTTTAACTGGCCCTTAACCATGACCTTCCATCCACAGGTGGGGATCATACCACCCAGGCGCATATATCTGGAGCTGAACATAAGCTCCAGAAAATTGTAGGTGGCATTTCTCTTATTTTACCTCACAATCTATAGAATATATTACACTATATTCTGTTTTCTGTCTTCATATTTTCCATACTTACTCATCACAATACGAGTTTGAGGACAGCCAGAAGGCGCTGCTTTCCTGTACCCGTCCCTCTCCACAGCTCTGTTTGTGTGTCTCTTCCACCCAGCACGTTTTCTCTTTCTTTCACTGCCTCTCTATGGTGCTTTGGATGTCCTCCTCCCCCCAGTCCCTCAATGCATCTCATCTCCCCCACGCCTCAGTCCCCCAGTCCACTTTTATGTCTCATTCCCTCCATCCAGTCCATCCATGTGTTTCATTCTCCAAGCCCAATCATATGTCTCATTCCGCCAGCCCCTCATGTGTCTTATTATCCCAGCCCCCCCATGTACCTCATTCCCCCAGCCCCCCATGTGTCTCTTTCTCCCAGCCTCCACATGTGTCTCAATATACCAGTTCCCCTTTATGTCTCAATCCCCCAGCCCCCAATGTGTCTTATTACCTCAATTTCCCATGTGTCTAATTTTCTCTACTCCCTCCTTCATGTGTTTTACCCGACAGTGTCAATTCTGGCGGTAAATTTCAATTTAGTCATAGCCTTTTGACTAAAAAAGCCATTTTAGTTTTAGTTGCATTTTAGTCATCTAAGTCTAAATCGCCCATGATGCTCTGCACAAGACTGATGATTGATTCTGTACTTACAGGGAGTCATTGGAAATTATACCCAGTGTGAATGTATATGCAGAGTATGTTAACTAAATACTGCTTCATATCATTCAAATGTTCTGGGGAGGTAAGTGTTTTATATGTCATTCCACAGTGCACCTCACACCAGTAATGTGAGATAAGCACCATAGTAAGTGTTAGCATTCCAAAAGAGACCATGCTTCTTTTATGAATAAACCCCTTTTCTGACTGAAGGGGGAATAACAGTTTGTACTGCAATTGAAGAGGTCAATGGTGAATGCTGTTTTCATAATGTCCTTGGAATTCTTTGTTGGAGTTGTAGATGGATGTTAAGAAACAGTATTTAGTTTGGTTTCTGTAACTAGAACAACAATCAATAATAGGGAGGAAGAGATTGTGTTAAACTGTATCTTATTTCACCCACAGATTACAGAAATGTATGTAACGACTCTTAGAGGTTTATTCACTAAACAGTGAGTTGGGATGGCAGTCAACATTTTGCAAGATGGATGTGGGATTGTGCTTCCAAAACTTACTTTCCCTTGTATAATATATATTTTATAATAACTAAAGTATATATCGCATATTTATACTTTGTCATAATTACTGTGTTATTGTACTGTGTGTTTTTTTTATTTGTATACTTTGTTCCATATTTATTATTTATACTATGTTTGAAACATGTTTATTTGCTAAAATATGCATTTATACAATACTTTTGATAACACTAAATTACTGTATTTTTTGCAGTTATTGCTTTAAAGGACTAGTTTTCCTGGCACTATAGTGCCCTGAGGGTGCCCCCACCCTCATGGCCCCCTCCCACCAGGCTGAAGTTAAACAATGAAGGGGTTAAACACTTCATCGGCTGAATGTGCATGCGCGGCAAGAGCCGCACGCGCATTTAGTCAGTCCATAGGAAAGCATTCTCAATACAGGAAAGCATTCTCAATGATTTCCTATGGATGCTGGCGTCTTCTCACTGTGAAAATCCCAGTGAGAAGTGCGGAAGCGCCTCTAGCGGCTGTCAATGAGACAGCCACTAGAGGCTGGATTAACACATATGTAAACATACCAGTTTCTCTGAAACTGCTATGTTTACAGCAGGCAGGATTAATCCTAGATGGACCTGGCACCCAGACCACTTCATTAAGCTGAAGTGGTCTGGGTGCCTATAGTGGTCCTTTAAGCCTCCATGGGCCGGTGGGGATATCAAAGATCTACCTCACCGGCCCACAGCAGCAGGGTTGGAGGCAGGAGAGGACCCGGGGAGCTCTAGCCAGCAGCTCCACTGGGTTCCTCTCGCGAGATCTGAGCGTTGCCGCTGCAACGACCAGCTCTCGCGAGATCTGAGCGTTGCCGCGGCAACGACCAGCTCTCGCGAGAGTGAACTATAGCCCTGCGGGCTACAGTTAACTCTCCACTGGATCACCAGGGGTAGCACATGGCAGCAAGGATCCCCCTCCCTATATAAGGTAAGAAAGGAGGGGGGATATTTACTAATCTGCCCCCACCTCCACCCCCACAATCCCTCCAAACATACATCGCACACACACACACACACATACAGCACCCTCACACACACACACACATCACACAAACAGCACCCTCACACACAGCACCCTCACACAGCACACTAACAGGACCCTAACAAACACACACACAAACACCCTCACACACACACACACACACACAGCACACTACCAGCAACCTCACACAGCACACTAATAGCACTCACACACACACAAACACCCTCACCCACATAGCACACTACCAGCACCTTCACACATACATCACACTAACAGCACCCTCACACACAGCACCCTTACACACACACACACACACACACACACACACGTGTATGTTTGTGTGTTATATATGTATATAACATTGGAATACATACATATACACGTGGCGTGTGTTTGTGCTTTAGGGTGCACATAACTCCACCAGCAATTTTTTTAGAGCCAGGTCTGTGCATGGTGAGGGACCTCATTCAGTGTACAACTGCTTTGAAAATGGTTTAACACTGAATGGAGGGATAGTGCCTGTGGACTCCACTCACAAATATAGTGAGATGACATGTTTGTAGTGCCTATAGTGTCCCATTAATTCTGGGCTAGAGCTTGAGCTCACACTGATTTGGATATGCCCCACCATATAAATGATGGGCAGCCCCCCGAAAACAAAAGAGTGTGTCTGATAGCCATTATGTGTACATGTGCTTTGTGAATTACATGGAATTAAATAAGAAGGAAGAATAACATACTGTTTTGAGCATAACTGTACATTGTTGGCCCATAACGCGCAGTTATTTTGATTATTTGTCGATTTAATAATTTTGCTGTATTCGACCCCTTAAAGTTAACAACTGTGGGCCCCACGTTTCCTACATTTCTTTGATGTGTTCGGTGGCTGACGTAAATCATCCCATAACATAATAGGATGAAATTAAAATTAGATATACTTTTCATGGAAGCAGATTATTTTGCTGAACACAGAACTCCACTGATGTGAAAGATCTATAGTAATACCAGAAAAATCTATGTAACTCCAGTTTGGCGCCACTGGAACCCTAGCTATCCACA